ACTTAAGGGAATAGCAGGGGAGTATGGAGGGAAAGTGGGGGCTGACTACAATGAGCATGAGAAGCAAACGTTCTGAAATTGATTGCAGTCATGATTGCGTAAATCTTCATATGAATGTATGACTCAAGTGTATGCTATGCGAGGTATATGCCAATAAAAGTATAATTAAAAAAGAACCATTTTTACTGGACAATAGTCACTCCAAAAGTTACATAGGACACTACTTAGGGGGCAGTGAGAATGATTGTACTTCTTGAAGAACGCAATGTCCCTGCGTAGTGCAGGTAGAAATGGTTGAATTTCTGTATGCGCTGCTGTGTATACTCTCCCCAAACCCACAAAAACCTGGGCGGATGGGGAGGGAGTGAGCAAGAGCAAGATAAGGAAAGGCCCGTGTGTGTGTGTGTGTGTGTGTGTGTGTGTGTAGGGGGTCGGTGGTTGGGGAGGAAGGTAATGGTGGGAGACAAGGGAGCCAGCTGTGTCAGGAAGGAGAGATGAAAGACGGTGAGAGGCCCAAAGAAAAGAACATTAAAAGACTGCGAGTTTGAAGATAAGGAGAGAGTGAGCAACAGGGGGGAATAAGAAAGAAAAGTGAAATATCCTGTTTGCAATCTTTTTCCATAACGCAAACGAGAGAATTATTAGTTCCATACATTCAAATCAGTTCAAATTCAAAAACCTCAATGTTTTAGAAATCATCAAAATTAATTTTAAGGCAAAGGGTAGAAAAATGCACTGGCTGTGAGATTTGATTTGAATATCACGGTCACATAGAAGCTTTGAGCCCTGAAGCACTGACTCTCTAGACAGGAGATAAAAATGATAAGAGCCAAGCTAACCCTTACCTGTATAGCACATGGAGCCACATGAGTTAGAATCGAATCATGGCAAAGATAGCAGCCAAACAGCACTTATGTCCCAGCAGGCAAGTGTCTAAATAGTTTACATGTCTTCATTCTATCATCATCACTACTTCATGAACCCAGAAAATGAAGTACAGTCACGTGACTGAGGTCACAGATTTAATTTTTATTACTTGGGATTTAATACATATATCATTCTATATTTCAAGCACGTCAAGTAGAATTGTCCAATTGTTACCACACTCAGTTTCCAAACATTCCTTTTCTACATGCTTGGTCTCCTTTACAGCTTCTTCCTTTCACCAGCCCCACCCCAATGCACTCCCCCACCCCCTGAGCCCCGACTTCCACCTGCTGTCTCCATAGGTTCATCAATCCTGGGTTTCATACACCGACACATGGAAAAGCATATAACACACTTTCAAGAGGGCGCTCTCCATGGACATAATACCTCTACAATACAACCTAATATGAACAAGCAAAAACCAAACCAAACAATACAAACCAAAAATACAGAAAAATTTGGAAAACCAGATCAGGTCCAGCCTGTATCATGGGGGGTGTGGCAGGGTGTGTGTGTGGTGGAATCTACTGACAGTTTTAACTGTTCAAGCAGATTTATGCCTTTGATCTTCTGTACTCCTCTCTCCCAAGTACTCTGTGTCATGACCACTTTCCTCCCATCCTTCAATTTTAGAGATGGGGAATTCTTTGGAGACTTATTTCCTATGCAGTTCCACAAATGAACCTTGGGCTCCCACTGTCATCCATCGCCTTCTGCACACCGGATTCTCACAATTTAGGCTCTGATACGGATCCCTCTTTCAACTTGGAATTACTGTATATGGATTCCAACCCTTTGTTGACTGATGTTTGTTTCTTCCATGTGGACTTATTTGACATCTCAGTTAGATGGCTGCTTGTTTGAAGACAAGCCCTTTAAGACCCCAGGTGTGATTTTAAAAAAATACTTTTTATTGGGGGAATCTTACATCTATCACAATCCATACATTCCTCCAGTGTGTCATGCACATTTGCACATATGCTGCCATCATCATTTTCAAAGCATTCTCTTTCCACTTGAGCCCCTAATATCAGCTCCCCATTTCTTCCCCACCCTCCTTCACAAACACTTGAAAAAGTTATAGATTATTTTTTCCCAAATCTTACAGTGTCCTCTGTCGCCCCTTACCCACTTGTCCATTATTCGTCCCCCTGGGATGGGGTTCTAGTTTGATCCTTGTAATTGGTTCCCTCTTTCTCCCCACACCCTTCCCTAATCCTCCTGGTATCTGTACTCTCTTTGTTGGCCTGAGGGGTTTATCTATCCTGGATTCCCTGTGTCACGGGCGCTTGTCTGTAGCAGTGTGCGTGTTCTGGTCTAATCTGATTTGTAAGGTAGAAGTGAGGTCATGATAGTGGGTTGTAGGAAGCACCAAAGAACTAGAGGAAAGTTGTGTGTTTCATCGGTGCTATACTGCACCCTGACTGGCTCATCTCTTCCCTGTGACTCCTCTGTGAGGGGATGTCCAATTGTCTACAGATGGGCATTGGGACTCCACTCCATGCTCCCACCCCTTGGGTATGGTTTTATCCTGGGTCTTAGATGCCTGATAACTGATCCCATGGACACCTCGTGATCACACAGGCTGGTGTGCTTCTTCCATGAGGGCTTTGCTGTTGTGACCAGGCACTATCAATTCTTTGCCACGTTTTGCTATATAGCACCTGTATTTTCTGTGTTCCCTTCCCAAGGGCGAGTATTGAGCAGGGTCATGATGTAAGAACTAATTGTTCTTAAGTTGGAGCTAGGATTTAGTGAGAGCCCCAAACTCATTCCTGGATCTATGCTTCCCCCGCCCCCTTTTAATTTGCTGTAACATGGGAGTTTAATGCATACGTCATATCATTCCATAGTTCGTCAAACAGAATTGTGCAATTGCTACCATAATCAGTCTCCAAATCTACTTTTCCTTCCTGGACTCCTTGACATCATCTCCCTTTTATCCCCTTCACCCCTCTATATCCCCTCTCTCTGTAAGACCCTTGTTCTATTTGCTTTCCCTATAGGCGCAAAGTCCCTGGATTTCATCTAGCAAAAAAAAACAAACAGAAAAACAACCCAACTTTAAGTGCCCCCAAATGATAACACATCTCTGAGATACACCCTCATATGAACAAGCATAAGCAAAGTAAAACAGAATGTCCATCACAGGACTGCTAGAGTAATACATATCTTAATACAGCATATTGGGCATTGATATAGCAAGACCTTGTTTGTCCACCAACCAACAGCACCCCACTCTTGCTACAGTGTCTTCTGCTTCCTCAGACCCATGCATTTTGCAACTGAAGTCCCCAGTGTATGAGTGTGTCTGAGGTAGAGTCTAGTGTACCCAGCCAAGTTCCCATTTATGGGGTCTGACCGACTCAGCCTCTAGAGTAAGACAGCACGCTGAAGATCCAGGTTTCAGTGTCCCAGCATTCCAGGGCTCCTGGCCTGAGTTCCTGGGGTACCTCCAGTGCCCACCTGCTGCACGCCACTAAAGATACTCCCTACCCAAAGTCCCCCCAAGCATCCTCAATCGCTCTTCCCCCCACCTGAAGGTCACCAGGTTACAGTATTGTAAGTGAAATAGCAGCTTAGTATCAGGACTACTGCTTATAATTAACAGACACAGCATCTCCAAAATAAGACTATGTATTAAAAAACCTGATCACTATTCTCATGAAGTGATAGTTCCTGTTCATGGTTGAAACAAACGCGATAAGAAAACTAAGTCCAAGGGAAAATGAGGAAAACCCCCGGACCCAGTGGCTGCCACAGAGGGCACAAATATAACAAACTTAAGGATGACACATGATTGGTCATCTCTCTTTCTTTTCTTTTGCCTTTGTTTACCATTCTTTCTATTTATTTATTTATTATCATTAAAAAATTAATTTTAGTAAATCATTTTATTGGGGCTCTTCCAGCTCTTATAACAATCTATACTTCAATTGTATCTAGCACATTTGTACATATGTTGCCATCATCATTTCTAAAACATTTTCTTTCTACTTGAGCCCTTGGTATCAGCTCCCTTTTCCCCCCTTCATCCCCCAGCCTCCCAACCTGTGAACCCTTGATAATATATAAATTATCTTATTTTCATGTCTTGCACCGTCCACGGTCTCCTTTCACCATGTTTCTGTTGTTTATCTCCCCCCACCCACCCTCGCCCCTGGGGGCGGGGAGTGTACATCGATCATTGCGATCAGTTCCTCTTTTCTCCACCTTCTCCCCCCACCGTCGCCCTTCACCCGTGGTCGGTGGTGTTTCTTTCGGTTGTATAAGAGGGTCACTATGAACCAGAGTGCACTGATGGCACCTGAAAAGCCCAAAGACATCATGACCAATAATCAATCCACAATTCTGACTCCTGGCAACGCTATATAGGATTTCCAAGATTGAAAATCTTCATAGGAGCAGTCAGCCTCATCTTTACCCTGAGGAGCTTTTGGTGAGTTTGAACTACCAACTTTGCCCTTGGCAGGTCAATAGCTAATCCACATTGCTACAAAGCTCTTTATTATAATCAATACATTTTACTAAATAATAAATGATTTCTTGAATGACACGTTTTTACTTTAGAAAATTTCCTCTTCTTTCCCTTCTCTCCCTTATAACCTATCAATTACTAAAATTCCATATTTTCTTGTGAATTACTCTTGGGATTGGTTTTTCCTCTCTTAAGTTACCTGAAGTAGTTAGCACAGCTAGATTACTACAACAAGAATTTAAAGTGAGGAAGATGAATGTAATTATAATAAAAAAAGAGCCCACGGTAATCATAAAGTTCTGTTGGATTGGAATGTTTCTCAAATCCCAAATCATTTAGAATTGGTTTTGGCTGTGACGATATTAATCAGGGTCCCTTTGTTACACCACTGGAAATTTGTGGTATCTGTCAAAGAACAAGAAAGAGGCACTCCGCTCCGCAATTACTGCTTTGTGCATCCCCTAAATCCTGTGATCCAGGGGAGGGACTCTGGGATATTTTGGAAAATACCCTGTGGGAAGATGAGGAACAAATATGAATAGAATTTTAAAACTCTGACAATTTCTCTGTAAAACCAGGAACTACCAATCCTTACCTTTTCATTGTAAATGTCTCCAAGCATTGTACTTGCTCGCACAATATTTAGGTTTTGAAAAGTGTTTCTTGCAATTTCCAGAACTTTTTTCAAGCATTTAATGGCTCCTTGAATTTCTCTTTGGCTAGAACAAAGAACATTGAAAAGCGTTGGGCTACAATCTTAGCGTCATGGTGAAAAAATAGTACGAGTTTTTGCTTTAGAAAAATAAGGAGATTCATGGTGTGAATATTAAACACATGGGGGACTTGTCCTTGTAGGAGAACACAGTGAGTCAGCACTTAAACCTTCCAGCTCTTCCGCATTGTTTGTGGGAACACCAAACCACGGAGTTTGCTTTGTGAAGTGATTTAGTAGCTCCTCAAAGTATTTTCCTCTTTATTGATTGGGAGTTAATACAAATACCATATCATTCCATAGTTCAATTACATCACACAGCAATGTACAATGATGACCACGTCAGTTTCCAAGCACTCTTTTCCTTCCTGTACTTCTCAACAACCTTTGTGTAATTCCCATGTAACCCAGACAGTCAAGAGAACAGAAAACATGTTTCCACATAGTAGCTTGGACATGAATGTTCATATAAACAGATGATATTAGCCAAGGAGCGGGATAAAATGTGGTTCATCGATACCATGGGACATTATCTATGAACAGGAATGCCAGCATACGCGGTGAAAGCAAGTCACAGCAAAGGTGAACCTTGAGAGCATACTAAAGTGAAAGACGTCAGCCACAAAAGACCACGCATTACTTGATTCTATTTACATGAACTATTCAGCAGGGCAATCCATAAGGAATTTTGATTCAGGTTCTCATGAACACGGTGGGGATTTCAAAGCATATATATATATATATATATATACACACACACACACATATATATATCTGACAAAAGAAGTGTGCCTTTTGGGCGTCAACTTTCGATTGTGAGCGACACAAAGTGCTTGGTGTGCGTATTTACAGATTCACAGATGCCTTGCTTTTGTTCTCCTAGCTTCTCCCCCGCTGCTCTTCCAGGTCCTCTTCAACTTGCAGGATGGGAGTTATCACTGTTAAGCAACTCTTCTTTCTCTCAAGACTGAACTGTCATTCTGTCCTAGTTCTTCTCTGATTCTCAATTTGCTTGCTACTTATCCAGTATCTCTCATGAACTTTGAGGTTTCGGCCTTCCCAAAGTTACCTTTTCCCACCATTCTCTTGCAGGCTTCTTCTCCCCTCTGTCTAATGGCATGCTACTAGCAATTTCATACACCACCGGCCACTCCGCAGGAGGAAGACGAGGCTGGCTGCCTCTGAAAGATTTTCAGTCTCAGAAACCCTCACGCGGGCTGATCTGCGTCAGAATCAAGTCAGTGGTGTTGAGATGGGTTTGATTTACTCCAGATCTACATTTCCAATTTCCAGGTTTCCTTAAAATGCAGTGGAGCGCAGTTCCCTCCAAGTATCTACTTTAAAGAAGTCTGATAGTATTTCTTTGATCTTTTAGTAAACCTATTCACACTATTTTGTTATAGAGCACTCAGAAGCAATTTAAGGATTCCTGTCCCCCTCGAATTTACCTATAGAAACTTTTTCTTGTTTTAAAATTGTGACTCCATTCCAACCCCCTCCTCCCCGGCTGTTTCCAACTATCAAATCTATCTTTTAAACAATGATGTGTGGTTACTGGAGCTATTTAAAGGAATAGGCCTCAAATTTAAAAAGCAATTTCAAAAGGTTCCCTTTAAACATGCAGGGGTAGATTAGAGGTAGCAACTCGCATAACCTCCCACAGTTTAATTGAGATGATATTTTTATATAAATATGTTTTGATATGTTCATAAAAAGAAGTTATTTAAAAGGCAAAATATACAAGGGTGAGTATTAGCAAGGCCTAGGTTAGAATCACAGCTTAACCTTTTTGCTGAATAACTTTGATCATATCTGTATTTTTTTTAAAGGATAATTTTATTGGGGGCTCTTATAACAATCCATACTTCAATTGTATCAATAATATTTGTACATATGTTGCCATCATTCATTTCTAAACATTTACTTTCCATTGAAACCTTGGTATCAGCTCCTTCTTTTCCCTCTCTTCCTCTCCCCCGTATCTGTATTTTTTCTCAAGTTTTAGTTTTCTTATTCTTAAAATGACCATAAAGTACCCTAAGTTTAAAAATTACATATGTATATAATGATATATACATATATACACACAAGTTGTATATACATGTATATATAATAAATATTAACATAAAGTTGAAGAGTCGATAGCAAATTATGGACGGTATTCTGTAGTACGGGAATTCTGGAACATTAAACTGTGCTCATGCTGAATCAGCATATTGACCAATAGATCATAATTCAAACAGAATAAAGGGATGTTACATTAGAATTGGGAAAAGTATGCCTCATTTGCTGTGTCCTTTTACCATATTTATGTAACCTGTGCTCAACAGATGATCTGAGAAGACTGACTCTATGAAGAATGAGGTATCTGGATTGGAGGATGACTCCAACAACCTGTGATACTCAGATGAGCATCTTACTAAAAATAAAGAGGCCTTGTTGCATTTGTGTATGAAGGTCAAAGACCACAGCCTTCAGCATGGGCTATACCGCTACATAAAGAAGACAAAAACTCTCACCACTGGATCAATAAGCAAGCGGCATCATGATAAACACAGAAAACACCGACGTGATCATGGATTTAACTTTATTTGAATCCACCATCAATACCCATGGAAGCTGCAGTCAAAAAACAAATGATCTTTTGCTTTAGAAAAATCTGCTGCAAATGGTCTCTTTAAAGTGCTAAGGCGCAGAGATGTCACTTTGAGGGTTAAAGTGTGCATGACTTAAGTCGCTGTGTTCTTAATGTCCTCATATGCATTACAAAGTGGACGACAAGTATGGAAGACTGAACGACTGTGGCTTTTGAACTATGGTGTCGGTGAAGACTACTGAAAGCACCATGTACTGCCAGCAGGACGCACACCTTGGTCTTAGAAAAGCACAGCCAGATAGTTCCTTAGACGTGAGGATGGTGGGACTGCATCTCATGTACTTTAGACATGTGACCAGGCGAGGACAGTCCTTGGAAAAGGACATTGTGCTTGGTAAAAGATAAGGCAGCAAATCAGAAGACCCTTGATGAGATGTATTGACACAATAGGTGCAACAATGGCCTCAAATAAAGCAACAAATGTGAGGGTGGGACAGGACTGGGCATGGTTTTGGTTCTGTTGGACATTAGGGGCACTCTGAATTAGAACCTGTGTTAGTCTGGGTACTTTAGAGAAACAAACCCACAGAAACTCATGTATAAGAGAGAGTTTTATATAAAGGTTAAGTGCGCATCAAGAAAACATCCCAACCCAGTGCTGCCCAAGCCCCCAAGTCCAACATTAACCCATATGTCCAACACCAATCCACAAAGTCCTCCTCCATCTCACAAAACACACTGTGACACTGACTGCAGGAGGGAAGCCGAATCAGTGAACATGTAAGCATCTCAGTGCTAGCAGGGGTCTCCACCAGGCTGCTCCAGCACCCAGGACTGCATTGGGCTAGGTCCATGCGAGTTCTCCTTGGGGATGTCTTGCAGGAAGTGAGTCTTCTCAGCTGAAGCAGGGAACTGGCTAAGGTAGCTGCACCCTGGTCCAACCATCACAAAGCAAGAGACCTGAGAACTAGAAAGGCGAGGCTCACTGAGCCATTTATCCCTCCGCCCTTCAAATAACCCCACGTGTGTTTATCGGCCAGGTTGGCACAATGAACTAACTACCTCACAACCAAACTTTAGGCACCTAAAACTAAGTACTCACTGCTACAGAGAGATTTCTTACACATAGGGACCCTTAGGACAGAGTAGAACTGCCTTTGTGGGCTTCTGAGATGACTTTTATTCACAAACCTATATAATTATAGATAGATAAATGATAGATAAAGCATATGTTATTATCATTAGGTGTAAGTGTGTGTGTGCGTGCATGCGTGCATACATGGGGAATCTCTGAAAAGTTCATGGGAAATGCCTATTAGAAAAACACTATGCATGAATTCCAATGTTTTGCACAGAAATAAATTTATACTAACTTGTCATACTATATCTGAGTCAGACTTGGTTTGAGGCATTAAGAAGAATGAGTTTGAAAAGAGCCTCTTTCTGAGCAATATGAATTCTGCTAACATTGAAGCAAGAGCAAACATCAAATTTATGGTAAAGCTTAGGAGGAAGAATAGTGGAATCATTCATGCTTTATAAAGAGTTTATGGGGGCACTTCCCGCAAATAAATAAGCAGTTTACAAATGGAAATGAGTTTTAAGAAAGGATGAGAGGACGTTAAAGATTGTGCCTACAGCTGCAAACTAACCACATCAAAATGTAAGGGAACAATTACTATTGCTCTTGCCATAATTGAAGAGGAGCAATGATTAATGACAGAAAAAATAGCCAAGACCAATCCACTATGATGGAATCAGCTCTGATTCTTAGGACCCTTTATGACACAGTAGAACTGCTCGGCGACTTTCCAGGACAAATTCCCTTATGATGTAGGAAGACTCATCTCTGTCCAGTGGAGTGGCTGGTAGGTTTGAACTGCTGGTCTGGTAGTTAGCAACACAAAACATCACCCACTACACCACAAAGGCTCTTGGCCAACACCATAGACATCTCAATTAGTTGAGCTTACACAAATTGAACTGAAAATTAAAGTTAAACACTTTCTGGTTTGGGGGTGCCAAGAGGAGAACTTTCCATGGAAATTTTTAATAAAATGGGATCAATTCTCTTGGGAGGGTTGGGAGAATTGTCATCAGAGATGACGCGGTCAGTGGCTTTCCCAGTACAATCCTGAAGACAAAGCACCATTAAAGAAATGGTCACCAAGGAGTGGAAGGCAAAACAAAAATAGACTAGCCAAGAGCAAAACTCACGGAACTGTTCCTTTGGATGCTCCAGTCATTTTGCTTGTCACTTTCTGGAGGGAGGGCCAAAGAACAATAGCATCTGCTTATTATGAGAATGTTTTGAGAAAGCTAGCTAAAGCTTTAGCAGAAAAATGCCTGGGAAAGTTTCTCCAGCAAGTCCTTCTCCACCTCAAGATAATGTTCCTGCTTATTTCTCTTCT